TTTTCTTCCCTTCCTTTGCTCTCACAGCACTCTAAATAAGCTATTTTGGTCACTCCTCATTCCCACGGCTGCAGGGGTCAGAATAACCACAAAACCTGATGGAAACCATGAAAGCACCCAAATCTCCCTTAAGAGGTCAGAGCACAGGGAAAACCCGGCTACCCAGGGAGCTTTCCTCCCAGCTCTGCCCAGTGGAGGAGAAAAGATCTTGATACACAAACACTGGGGGGGGGGGGGGGGTATCAAAAACAAGACCGAGAAATATAAACGCCAGGATTCTAGAGTGCAAACCTCAGCCAGAGTGCCAAGCTCATATTCTTCAATTAGAAAAGAGGCGAACAGGTACATGCCCAGGAGCAGAGGCAGAATGGGAGCCTGGCCATGCCTCTGCTGCTATCTCTGCTCCAGCCACAGCGGTATCCCCTTTGGGCTATACACACCAGGGACAGCACACACACAGTCCAATTAGGCACGGGAAGGAGGGGAGGGTTCCTCCTACAAATCGAATCCTGAGTACACACTGACCATACAGGCGGAGATACATCGAGGTCTGTTCCTGCCCAGCTTGTAGATAGAAATCAAGCACCACGCTATTCATTTCATGCTAAGCACCTCTGGGCACCTCCCACTGCAAGGGCCATGGATATGCACTAGGTAACATTAGGAAGTAAAATGTGGAGTGGCCAGGCCCTTTGGATCTACTATGGGAAAAACACTGGACTATCCATACAAATTGTACTCTTGCCTGTGTGGTGATTAAATTATTAAAAATAATAAGAAGAAGAGGCTCCCAGGAAAACAAGACAAGCTAACTGGAATAAGCAGAACCACAGCTGGGGCTGTGAGGAAGGCTCTGCAAAAAAAGGTAATTTTCCATTGGACCTTAAGTAAAGAGGGCTATTTTCCCAAGGAGAGAAGAGAAAGGCATCCCTGAGAGCCTTTAACTTGCCCCTATGCACAAGTCAGTCCTGACTCATTTGGGGAACAGTGAATAGATTCAAATACCATGCGGAAACTGATGCAAAAAATGACACCAGAAGCACAGACCCAGGCAAAGCACGTGGTGAGAAGGGCTGGATGCTACACAGGCAAGGGCCGAGAGTGCTTCCAGACAGGTGCTGGAGAGAGCTCAGTGGAATGATCTGGGTGTGGAAGGTAATTCTGACATCACTGTGGAGTCGGGTTGATGCTGAGAGGTGCTGGGGCAGGGGCACCTCTGAAAACACGTTTCCACACAGAGATTACAACATACAAGTGTGTCTCTGATAGTGCTCGGTCCTAAGAGGGATCCCCATCCTGAAGACACCTGACCTGAAGACCAACACTGTGAGTCCCTTGCTCTGCCTCACTGGAATTCATAACTGGGACTGTCAGCTGACTGTGGCCTCGGGGAAGGTGGGTAGAAGTCTGTTATTTTGTTTGTTTAGATTCTAGTTGGGGATCTTGTCATCGTTTTCTGAGACAGGGTCTCACTGTGTAGCCCTGGCTAACCTAGAACTGTAGACAGGCAGCCTCAAACTCACAGCTGAGTGCTGCGATTAAAGGCCTGCGCCATCACACCCAGATAGAGCTTGGGGTTTGGTTTGGTTTGGGGGTTTTATGTTTTGGGTATTTATTTTTAATAAAAGAACGTGTTTAATCAGGCTTACAGCTCCAGAGGGTTAGAATCCATGATGGTGGACCAAAAGTATCTGGCAGGAACAGCTGAAAGTTCACAACTCAAGCAACAAGGCCCAGGCTGGCCTCCAACTTTCAGCAATCCTCCTGCCTCACACTTCTGAGTATTGGAATTATAGACATGGGCGACCACATCCAACAAATCTGCTTCTAACTGCACACCGTATGTGCTCAGAAAGCCCTGGAGGAGGCAGGGGTTGTCCCGGCATTTTTAGGATCAGGCTTCAGTCTACTTTCCACCCTGTTCCAGGCACTGTGCCAGCACTGGGGCGCGTGCAGGAGAGGGGACAACCACCAGATGGGGAGGGCAGCTCCAGAAGCCACCGAAAGCATCCAGATGAGAGAAGAGCTCAAGCCGGTGCAAAACCCGGCAGACGACGCTGCTGAACACGGAGTCAGCCGGTAACCCTCCTCAAAGAGCGACTCACGCCAGCCACTGCGCCTGACAGGCTAGTCAGCTGGGGGAAACATGCCAGGGGCATGCAAGGCAATCCTTGGAGCAAGAAGCAAACAGTGCAGCCCAGGGATGAGTTAACTCCCTCACTACATTCTGCAGAGACGCTTATTTTGATGTATATTTATGTTACAGTGTATACGAACCGTATTTTCTATATAACCCAAAGTAATTTAAAATTCACATCTTGAGATGAATACTCACTGGGGAAAAACACCGTTTTAGGTAGGAATTTGTACTCAGAGAGTTGGGGAGCACTGGGATAACATAGTCCCTGACAGGTGTTGTCATTCATGATATAATCTCAGAACCGAGGAAGAGATTGCAGAAGGACTGTCATGAGTTCAAGGCAATCCTGGGCTACAGAATGAGACCCTGTCTCCAAATAAATAAATAACAATAAAGAAATAATTAAACCTATAGTGCCTTCAACCCACTTAAGGACAGAATTTCTGTTCTATATTTTAAAAAATTCATTGTATTGTATTCAACTGGGATTGACTTAATTACATCCACTTACATGTCAAAAATGGAAAAGATAAGAGCATATCAAATAGAGAACATCTTTATATAAATTTTTATTTTAATACTTTTTATATCTACACCTTATGTATTTATCTTTGCACTTAAAAGTACCAGCAAATTCATTTAGAAAATTCATAATTTTACAAGGTCCAACACCTAGATTTCAAAAGCTAAATTAAATTCTATACCCTAACAAACATTATTTTCAATTGTTTTATTTCAATCTATTTACTTCACATCCCAAGGATGCCCCCTCTCTCCTCTCCTCCCAGTTCTCCATTTCCCCTCCTTCTCTTTCCCCCTTCCCTTCTCCCTTCACCCTAGAAAAGGGGAGCCCCCGCTGTATCAACCCTCCCCAGCACATCAAGACACTTGTGGGTTACCTGGCTAGTGGAGGGGGCCCTATTTCTAACATGAACTCTATGGCCTGCTTTTGGGTCACTTTCCCAGCCTTGCCTGCCTCAGGGGGTGAGGGCATGCTGAGTCCTAACAAACACTTTTAAATGATTTCTCCTCTCTCTCAGGAAGCACTTCTAAAAAGTATTCAAATATCTAAACCAATTAACCTATAGTAGAAAATTATTCCAAAGTAGAAAAATCACATTCTATAACATTAAAAATAGTGTGTGTTATCAGCAGCCATGATATGGAACCAGCTTCATCAACACATGCACGGACAAAGACAATGCGGCACACATTCCAAGTGGAGTTTTAATAGCTGTAAAGAAGAATTGATTTTATTGTTTCTAAGAAAATAGACGGGCCTAAAAATCATGTTAAACTAAATAAGCCAAACTTAGACAAAGATCACACTTCTCTCATATGTGAGTGATATGTCATGAAGCTAGAAAGGAGGTAATGCAAAAAAATGCTTTCTCTTACATACAGAATGTAGATTTAACAGTACTTATTATACACATGTATCTATGTGACATGAAACAGGAGAACTAGGAGAGGAAAGAAAGGAAGAGGAAAAACAAGGAAGGGCAATAAAGGGGAAAATATAAGCAAAGTTTAACACATGTATAAAAACATAATAATGAAACATTCTTTTAGACACCAAAAAAATTAATTTTAAAAACTTTCAAATATGCAATATATTCAAATTACACAGGATATAATTTTGTCATTTATAATTTGGGAGTAAAACTTTGCACTAGGTGTGTGTATGCATACTTTTAAAGCAGGATGTGGGACTAGAGAGCTGGCTCGGCAGGGAAGGGCACTTGCTTGCCCCGTTTTTCAGCACCCACAAGGAGGTTCGCAACCATCCTCCAACCTCTGAAGTCACTGCATGCACATGGTATATATACATACATGCAGACAAAACATTTATATTTTTAAAAAGTTTTTTAAAAAAATCTAAAAGCAGAAGTAGGATGTGGATAATAAAAAAAAAAAGTGTATCTAGAAACAGGACTTCAGAATGTTTCCTGGTCTGAGCTTCCTCTAAATCTCAACCCTTTGTAAGCACTAACCCACATTTCTATAGTTCAAGTAACTTGGATTATCCACCTGACCATGGGTAATTACAATGAAAACCTTAAAGTTACTTTGCTCAAAGCTTTCCTGTCGAACTCTCTTAGTTCCACACAGTAACTGATAAGCCACTCGCCATATTCAAATGTGTAGCATAAGTACTAAACCCCCACTGAGTTCCACACACCAGGCTGTGCTCCCAGTCTAGGGGAACGGGAGAGACGCGAGGGGACAAAACCAACCCCCTTCCTGCAGAGCAGAACCAGGGTCCTGGTGTCAGGCAGAGCTCCCAACCCCTGACAGGTTGCAACAAATACTCCATCACCATAAGGACCTTCCACACTAGTAAGGAGGGAGAGTGAGACTAAGAAAAAAGAAAGTCATAATGCTTGCAAATAATTCCAGTGCTGCTGGATCTTCATTCACACGCATGACTGTCTGACAATAATTTCCACCTCCATCTCTCCCGCATAGTGAATAGCTTGTGTTGTTCAGAGAAAGGGTTTAGACTCTCACTGCATGGCCTATTTCTAGTGTTAATTGCAATGCTTGGCAAAGCCTGGGGATCATTTCAATTCATTTCAAAAATAACTCCCATTCAATACAAGACGGATTTTTCACACTTGTGAATTTTTATTTACTTGATAATGAAGGTGGCTTGGCATGTAAATAAAGCATTTTCTTGGCAAATTTGGTCTGATGAAGATACGGAATTATAATGAAACAGCATGCTTCAGAAAAAAAAAAAAATGCCCATTCGCCTTCCAGACTCAGTTTCTCTTCTAACTCTTATTCAACCCCGCGATAATAGAGCTCAAATCAAAGGTGGGCCGTGGGAATAAACCAAGCATCTGCTGTTACTTACTGATCCATACAGCTCCCCCTTCTCATTCATGCCCAGGTAGAGTCCACTGTCCACGCCACGGATGCTGACCAGTCCCACTGCTATACTGATAAATTCCAGAATGCCTGTGAGATAAACAGCAGACAGAGGAGAGTTAGAGCCCAGATCATGTCCCCAGAGCCACAGCATTCCCAGGGGCTTCAGGGAGGAAGCTGAGCCCAGCTTCCTACAACACCTGATGTTCCAACTAAATTCTACCTTATCACAGTCACGCACTAAATTACCATAGTGGACATGACTTACATGATAGCTAACAGTATAAAAAAACAGAATTCCTACCTACATAGACATTCTAAATGAAAAGTCTGATAAAACTAATATACCATTCTAATGAGCTAAGACTATACTTGAAGGGGAAAATGACATATTTCCATTTTACATATGTGAAGTTAGGTAATTATATATGGGTATCTTGAGTTTTTACTTACTGTCCTCTGGGACTGGGAGAAATATCACACACACACAATATGTATGTTGTATATGTGCGTGTATGTGGATAGAAACACATACATGTACATATGCACAATTTTTTAAATTCTATTCAGAGAATAATCCTATGTGTCTAAAAATAACAGTGTGAGGTGCTAATTAAAGCCTTCACCAACTTATGCAGAGAATTATCTAGCTCTCAATTCTATAACCTTATTGAACGCTATTTGAAAACCTAAAGTACCAAACACACACCTCAAATATCTCTGCTTAAACAGAGTACTGATTCTTTTTCTGTTCTTGCGTAAACCTCAACGATACAGTTACAATTAAAATAGCTTAATATTAAGGGGGAAATGCTGGCTCAGAAAGAGAGGGAGAGAGAGAGAGAGAGAGAGAAGGAAAGATAGAAAGAAAGAAAGATGTTCCCTATTAAAATAACCTGGAATACTCTATCCCCAAAGCAAATCAATATAATGATCTCTTTCGCTTCCTTCTTTCACCTTGCTTACCTCACTAAAAATAACAACATCTAAACTGGGCATCAATCCAGAATTTTATGACCACACAACAGCAGCTTCAATCTCTCTGAGCCTACTGTTGCTTTAAGATGATCATTCCGCAGGAAACACAGATGCTGCTAATCATCTCGTGCTTGGCCATGCGCCCACTTCGGTTATAAATTAAAGTACTACATTTTGTGTAGATCTTGTATCAGTGCATACCAAATAATGAGTTCTTGTTTTGAAATTATTCAATTATTGAGAAAGTGTACTTACATCTAAGAGTATAAAAGAAAGGGGGGAAGCTTATGGTAACAATATAAGTGATATATATATATACATATATATATATATTATATGTGTGCTAAAGTCAGTCTCCTGTGGCTAATGAAAAAGCACTTAGATGGATTTTTAAACAATTAATTTTCCAATTCTCACAGACTAGACTGGACTGCCATCAAATGAGGACTCTGACTCCATAAATCTAATAAAGTAAAGGATTAAGTCAGAAGGAAACCCAGTTGCAAGGTGATAACTCATTCTTGTATACACAGTATCACTCATTCTTGTAGACCCACAAAATGTTACAAAGATCCTCATGTTATGCTTACAAAACATCTGCTCACATGCAGAAACTTATTCTAACAGAACATGAGATTGTGAGTGATAAAAGAGCAAAATTACATCTCAGCTACTAGCCCATAATTTTCATGGTCCATCCACACAAGCCAGTGTGTGACTAGCCTTCTCCTTCACAGAGCAAATGAAAAAGATTACAGAGGCAATATCTCCTCAAGATTCGCTGCACAGGAGTTGTACTTCCTTTCTGATGCAGTAATTTTATTTTGTGATAACACTTCTAACCCTTCTAAATCAAAATAATCAAAATTAGAACAATTTATCTTTATTAGGGGTGCTTATACAAGACTCACTTCTTGTTATCAAAAAAGTACACCCTAAGGAAGGTCATACAGATCATGAAATTAGCATAAGGACTTACTGCGTGTCTACTTTCACTGTAAAATGAAACAGAGGAAACATTTCATCCACTCTGAGGTCTGTGCAGTTTAATTTACCAGGTCAATGAGGAAAGGGTTAACCATAAAACTAAAAGCCATTTGTGCCCTCTGAGAGGCCACATGATCTGTTTCCTCCACACATGAGGCGGTGCGGAGAACTAATAACCCACCAACAGCTCTCCCAGATCCAACAGAGTATGATTTCACAAAAGGACCTGACTGGCCGCTCTGAAGAAGAGCAAGAATAGTAGTGATGACTGCAGTAAGGATCCGGTGACAGCCAGGATGCTTAGGTGTGAGAGGCCTTCTCTCTCCAGTCTTCAGATGATCCTAGGCACTGAAATGTCCTCAGACCCAATCTACAAGAGGGGGACTGAAATTTCAATCGTCCACGCCCATCCGACTATAAGGCCTGTTTTCTTGAATATCATGTGCACTGTACAGCTCTAACATTTTGGTTTTTTTTTTTTAATCTGTAATTTTTTGCCATTTTCATACACTTAACTTCTGAGGCTATTGTTACATAAAATAAGAATGAAAGTATTAGTTATTGATCTTGTTTTTCTGTTTATTAATAAAACAGCTAACATGCATATATACATTCACTTTTTCAGCCAATGAACTGCACTAACCATGCACCATGCCACTTATTAAACGTAAAATATGAGAGAAATATATAATGTAGGCCCTGCCTCCTGCTCAGTGGTAGTCTTTCCTTATCTGTAGACACATTCCTTGCATGCCTGCAGCCTCGGCACCCCAAACCCTACTTACACTACTTTATCCTGTACATCTATACTCATAACAAAATTTAATTTACAAATTAGCCCCCTAAGGGGTTAATAACAACTAATAATAAAATAGAACCAGTATCAAATAATGTAACTAAGAGTATTTAAAACTTTTGAATTATTTCTAGACTATTCCATGTAACATCTTCAGACACAGTAAAAAAAAGTTACTAAGCAGGGAGAAGGGGCTACTGTAACAGGAAGAACAAACAAACAGAAAACTATGGTGGCTCACACAGTGAGAGGCAGATGTGTAGAAAACAAGTGTATCCAAAGACCAGTAGTTTGTTCAGTTACAGAAAGCAAGTCAGAAGAGTATCATGAAAAAATATCTGAAATGAGTCTGAGGAGCTCGTCTAATAGGACCCAATAACCCCAAGTAGAAATATTTCATCACTCCAAACCATCATCCTGAACCATATTCCTGAACCTCCTTTAGAGTAGGAAACTCAAAAAAAAAGTCCAGATTTTTATGAGGTCACTCTCATGACCCAAGGGCAAGCAGAACATCCAAATGTGTGAGTCACAGTTCTTCTCCCACACCCAGAAAACGCCAGTGTGGAAAGGTCAGGGAGACCTGGCAACAAAGCAGCAAGAGCCCACCCCATCCAGACTGGAATCTTTATCATTCTTGGTGCTGGTACGGCCTCATCCACAGTGAGCTCTACAGCCTCTGCCACATCAGCCAGGTCCCCAGCTGGCACCAAGCAAAAGCCTCCAGCTGTCTTCCTTGAGGACAGGGCACTCCTTACACCAATCTGCCTACCTGTGCAGAGCTGAGAAACCAACATGGACAATACCAGATCCGTGACAACCAGGAGGAGACTGTTCAAGATCAAGGGAAGGAGAAAGAGAGAAAAAGAAGGCAAGGGGAAGGGAGGATAACGGACTGACCTAAAGCCGGCAGTTTGATCTGTCTCTCCTAGCACACACAACCGAGACAACACTGGCTCAGAAAGGCCACAGTGGGGAGTGGCGGCGGGGCCGCAAGTAGACCGGTGATATTTGCCTGCTCTCTTCCACCACAGACACCCATTTCTCTTAGGACCCACTCAGGGCCTCGTGGGAGCTGGTGAAGCCAAAGATCATTGCTCACATACTTCTTCTGGAACAGTCCCAGGTTATGTCTCCCTCTTCCCAGTCTCACGGACTACTAATGATTGGCGTGTCTAGTTCTGTCCAATAGTGTCACTAACCCCAAGTTAGTCCACCTTCCTAGAGTCCCCCTATGCTGTGCCTCACCTCTAAAGCCAGCCATTGGAAATGGGGCAGTTGACAGTTCTATTGCACGCTCACCTGTGCCCTCTTTAGATCAAACAGCAAAAACAGGAAGCCAGTATTGTTCAACTTCGTTGACCATCATAACAAAATGGTAACTGTCAGACAATCTGGCTGCAGGACATGGAGAACTCAACCTCAAACTAACCAGGAAACTTCCACTCTGCCGGCTAGTTTTCACAGTGATAAAAAGTGTTATGCAGACCACTGGAGACCATTTATCAATATTACCCTGCATGCCACAATACAGACCTGCCAGGTAAGATGTGCCCATGGCACAATAGTGGCATAGCTGTTACAGGGGTAACCAATGGCTCTCTGCTTAGCGTTGAAGCATGAGCCATAGGAAAGAATTTATACCTGATACTGTAAACCTAGTCAGAAGCCTGTGACTGGCAATCTCACAGGCCCTAGGGTAGAATCTGTTGTTGTGATTTTGCTAAACAATCGTGTTGTCAGGTTGCCTTTTAAATATTTATGTTTATACTCAAAAGATCTATGTTCCTCTCGTCTGGTTTCTAACCAAAGCTTCTTTTTGCAAAGGGAAGCTGTGAATGCAGAGACTCCTAATTTGTTAAGTTGCTTAGGATAAGTGACTGTGAGTACTCAGCCCTAAATGGGACATTTACATCACTACCACCAAGGCTCAAAGAGCACTTGGGAAGAGAGGGTAGAAAGAATATAAAAGCCAAAAGACAGGAGAGAGTGTTGTGAAATGCGCCCTTCTGGACATGGCATGGCTGGTACGCTCATGAACTCATAACAACTGTGGTTACCTGAGCAAGACTTGCACAGCGTCAAGCCAGGCAACATTCCAGCACCAATGGGAAAAAGGCTCGTGAACTCCCACCTCTAGCTGATGAGCTTTTGGCAGCTGACAGCTACCAGTTTCCTTTGAGGGTGTGGCTACAGGTAGGTTGGCCATGCTCCCACAGAGAACCCCACAGCCCTGTGCATATGTGGGCTAGACTAACTGGGCTCAGAAGGAGAAAGAGGAGGAGGAGGCAGCAGCTATGAAGTTAGGGGAATATATGCAATTCTCAGAGACAGCACAGTGGGGTAGCCAACGGTTCCAGCTACTCCAGAAGGCTTGCTTGAGGCCACGATGTCCAGGCCAGCCTGGGCATCATAGTGACCTTGCTGACAATGTTGAAGAAGAAGGCGGAGGAGGAAGAGGAGACTAAGGAGGAAGTGGGAACAAAAGAAAATGGGAGAAAAAAAAAAAGGATAAGAAATGGTCCAGATTTTTACAGAGAAACATGGCATGAGGCTGTCAAAAGGGAGAGGTCAAACTGAACTTGGTGGTGCAGGACTGTGACTCCAGCACTTGGGAGGTGTGGGCAGGTGGGTCAGCAGTTGAGGACTAGCCCGTGCTTCTCATGCCCAGTCTGGAAAGTGGGCGGAGTGAGCCGCTAAGCCCCTTGTCTTCCGAAGCTTCCGGAGCATGCCCACGGCTACCTGTGGTCCAGAGGCTCCTCACAGATCCCTGCCCCAGCTTTCACAAAACTGGGGACAAGTTTTCTGCAGCAAGCCTGAAGGTAGCTCGCACTTAGGAAGCCTTTCCCCCACCCAGTACCACCTGACATGGGCTCCTTTAATAGGGCAGGTCCTGCCCTCCAGTGGCTCGCCAGCAGGGGTGCCTGTCCATCAAGGGTTCGGACCTCTTGAGTCACCACCCCACGCCAGGAGGTGGGCCTGCTTCAGCTTCACTTTTTCCTTACTCTGCACTGCCTACTTAATTTTTGCCCATTGTCTTAACAGCTTAGCAAGACCAGAAAGCCCTTCCAAGTGAAAATCACTAGCTTCCCAGCCCAGCACTCAGAGACCCCCAGCTCCCCTCCTCCCACCTCCCGTCACCCCAAGGAAAAACAAAGGACTCCTTAAGGTCCCACCTTCAACTCCCCGGCCAGGCTGCAGCCCCTGCAGAGCTGAGAGCCCCCCGCCCCCTCGTGCCCTGCCCCGCCGCGGCCCTGCCCCGCTGAGCTTGCCCGCGGCTGCCGTCACCTGCCCCGGCTGGGGGCGGCAGAAAGCAGCTGCCCTGCACGGCTCCTTCCGCCGTTCCTTTTCAGGTAGAAAACGCACCTTCTATTTTAATCGAGGTGTAAACCCACCCCACTACAGCTACTCTGCGACCCGGGGAGCAGGCGAAGTCCCCCGGGAGGAGCCGAGGCCTGGGGTGCGGGGAGGGGCGGGAAGGTGAGCCGCGGAGGCCGGACGCCAGGTGCGCCCCGCAGCCCCTCCGCCCCGCCCGGCCCGCGCCGCGGGGTCCTAGCGCCGCCGCAACTCCCTGCGGGCGGGGCGCGGAGGCTCCCGGCGCACGCACTGCGCCGCAGAGGTTGCTAATATTGGGACCTGCCGCAGCAGCAGCAGCAGCGGGAGACCGCGCCACTGCTGTCACCCCGGGGGCCCGCTTCTCACTGCAGCCGGATGAAAGACTTAAATAACCCTCCTTCCCCACCCCCACTGCGCACAACCGCCCACTCAGCTCCAACCAAACCAGGGTGAGTGGCACTGCCTAGAGCCAGGCGCGCCCTTCCCCCCGCGGCAGACACCCGGCCGACCTGCTGTACTTGCACCCGGGGTCCCCGGCATGGGCCGGGGCTTCCGCTTCCCTCCTACCGACACCCCCTCACACGCACACAGACACACACTCACACAGACACGCACACACATTGTGCGGAACCACAGAGTAGAGATGTCACTTCCTTGGCTACACCTTCTCCAACCTCTAGGATCGAGGCGGGGTGAGGAGATGGGGCTTTTTGTTTGATAGTGCGGATTCTGCGGCGGTACCAGCAACCCTGGTCCTCCGACCCCTGAACGCGCGCTCCCCGCCCTGCATCCCAGCGCAGACATCCCAATAATCTGAAGTCTCAAGTGCGCGTGGCAAACGTCCTATCTTAAAGGTGACTGCATCTTTTAAAAAAGAAAGAAAGCAAGCCGTGGCGGGGAGGTGCGTGGAGGGGCCCGGCTGTAGGGGCTATCCGGTGTCCTGGGCCCAGTTGTGGGGCGCCCTGGGTTGGGGCCGGGAAATTCACACAATGAAGGTGGCCCTGGCCGGCCGCAGCGCCCCTGCAGCCGTGCGCCCCGGGAGCGGCCGGCCAAGGCCACCGCGAGACGAGCTCGGGAGCCCTTCCCAGGGCTAGCGGTTAACAATAGCATGCCACCCCCCGCCGCCGCCCGCGCGGCCCTTTGTCACCCCACCCCCACCCCTTCCCCTGCGGCTGTGGCCTCGCCGGGCCGGGAGGCCCCCCGACCCACCTCCCGGACCCAGCGGAGCCCTACGACTCCCCCGAACCCCGCTGCGCGCTTCAGAAAACAGGGGGGGGAGGGACCCTGCGCGGGACCGCGAAGCTCAGTTCCGACCTCCAGTCCGTCCTCGGTCCCCGCCACCAAGTCTCCGGCTGCGGTGCGCGCCTCCCGTGGTTCCCACACCGCACACCGCCGCCGCCGCCGCGCCTCCTCGGGCGGCGGCTGTCAGCGCCGCCAGACCCGCATTCACAACACAAAGAGAGGGCAAAGGGACTGGACGCGGGCGGAGAGCAAAAGCCGGGCGCCCTCCACGCGGCCAGAAGGGCGTCGGCCCCAGCCCTCCCGGCCCTGGACCGCAGCGGTCCCCGCTGCACGGAGGGGCGCGCTGGAGCTCGGTGGAGAGGGAGTTGGAACCCGAGCGCTCTTAGGACCGCGCGGAGGAGAGCGCCGCGGGGCCGGGCTGAGCCCGCACCTGCCGGCCCCAAGCGCGGGAGGACCAGGCTCCCGCGGCCCCGGGCACCGGGCGGCCGCCCGCAGCTGGCTCACCCCGTCCCCGCCGCCCCCGGCCCCCCGCGCCTCGTCCCGCTCCGAGAGCCGGGCTCGCAGCACCCCGAAAGGTGGCCAACACTCAGGCTGCACGGGAACTCCAGTAAAGTTTAGTCGCCCCCGCCCCCACCCGCCCCTCCGCCGCGCGACCTTTGCTCGTGGGTGCGGAGGATGGTGGGTCTCGGGGACTCGCGGCAGCCACGAGCTGCCCCCTCTGCTCTCGGGCGGCAGGGGACACTCACGTCCGGTTGGGAAATTGACTGGGTTCCGTGGGGAGCCTCGGGGGTGAGCCCAGGGGGAACCCCGGGGCCTGGAGATCCGCGCTCTCCCCGCCCAGGCCTGCACCCTTCTCACCTCCGGGCGACAGCCGCGGTGCTCGGAGCTAAGCGTGTAGCTTGGGCTGCGTCCCACATCTGGCATGAAAGCACGAGGAAGAAAAATCACCACGGGACTTGGTTTTACGACCTGGTCTAAGTGTTGTCAGGTGGGTTCACTCAGGAGTTAACTCCTTCCAACAGCCTGGTCGCCCAAACTGGCGATTTTTTTTTTTTTTAAAGTAAGGGGAAAACCTCGATTCCACACCCCCGTCCCTCCCTCCCCAAGCCCAGGCGGCTCCGTGCCCGCTGACTTAAACCGCACTGCTGAAGGTGCCCCGCCGGGCACGTGTGTGCCTCATGAAAGTGGGCAGAGTCCCCACCTGAGCCCGCAGCCCTCGATGCTGAGTCACAACACCCTGCTCGGAACGGGAGATCCTCGGAATGCCCTTTAAAGCGAGCCTGCAGCTTTTGCAAGCGCACGCAAACACGCACAGCAGAAAGCCACCGGGAAGCCCACACGAGGCTGAACGCTGTGGAAATGTAAAAGCAGAGGTCGAGAGCCGATGGGTGGACGGTCCCGCACCCCTGGGGGCTGCAGACCCTTCCCAGCCCCTTCTCCCCTGGAGCTTCTGCCCTAGATGCTTCGGGTCTAAAACAGGACTTCACTGCTCCCCCCAGAACCGCCCGCAAACCCTGGCCTGCAGAGCTTTCCACCGGCCCCGGGAACAAACAAGGAGCTTAATTTACAGTCCAGGCAGAGCACGTACAGGAGGAAAGGGGAAAGGAAGAAAACTCAGCCTGAGCAAGGTACCGGCTACCGACAGGAAACTGAGTGCATCTTGAAGTTCTTAGTGATTAAAGCTTTAAACTCCTGGAAATAGGCCCATTAAAAAGAAACTTCTTAAACCTGATCTTTTCGCTATCTGAGAAAAAGAAAAAACTTCGGATTTGGATTATAGTCATAACTCACCCCCACCCCACCCCGAGAGAGAGAGAGAGAGAGAGAGAGAGAGGCCTTCCAGTGTAGACTTGCACCAGTGCCAGCCGCAGATCTGCAATTCCGGAGGCTTTTTCCCTCCCTGGGCTGGCAAGACACTCAGGGGATGGGGGGGGGGGGGGGTGAACATGAGAATATATTCCTTCCAGCATCCCGCCTGCTTCCCGGCGGCCGGCCCTCTGAACGCGTCCCGGCGCGGGCACGGAGGGGTTAAAGGCATACCTACCGAATCGGCTGTGGTCTTTCCTGGTTCCCTGGATAGTACCGTTGGGGAAGATTTCTAAGTGAAAGCCAGTCCTGCAGTACAGCTGCCTCCGCCTGAGAATCCCCTTTAAATGATCCAAGTCCGTGACCGCGGGTCCCCGGGGCAGCCCCCCTGCTTCAGACTGACCCAGGTGGTCACTTAGCAACACCGGGCTGTCCACCGGCAGCACGGGCACGTTCCCGAACGGCGCCGCGTCCTGCACACCGAAATAGCTCCCAACTTCACCTAGGGGAGCCATCGGAGGACTCGGGCTCTGGAGCGCAGGAATAAACAATAATGATGGTTCCGACCGGGAGGACGCCGGGCGAGGTGTTTCCAACTCCGCTCCCGGCCGCGGCTGCGGGGAGAGAGGGCAGGAGGCTTCTTCCCTTCAATCCATCCGATGCACAAATAAAAGTAATCCGCGCTTCCCTGGCACGCGCTCAAGGTCACAGCGCCGGCAGCCCGAGCAGCCCGCTCTCGGTACTCACAGGCTGGCACGGCTCGGCGCGGCTGGGCATCGCGGCGGAGGGAGCCGCGGCTCTCGGCGGGCGGCGGGCGGCGAGCTCCTCATCGCAGCCGGCCGCAGGCGGGGGGCGACGCGCCCAGCCTCCCCGGCCGCCCCGAGGCCCGGGCGACCATAGCCGCGGAAAGTGCTGCGGGGCGCTCTCCACCGGGATTTTTTTTTTTTAAGATGCTCGGGCTACGTCAGGAGGTACGGATCCCGACTCCAGAAAGGCATGCGCTGTTTTTACTCTCGAACCGACTCTGCAGACCTCAGCATGAAATCCGTCAAGGGGGAGGGGGGCGGCGGGAAAAAAAAAAAAAAAACCCTCCCGTCGGCGGCGGCGGCGGCTACCCTCCCCGCCCCTCCTCCGAGGACATGGAAAGGGAGGCGGGCGGGCCGCCGGAGGAGGGGAAGTCGCGGGCCGGGCCGCG